CCTGCCTTCCCACATCAGGGAGCTCCCTGTCGTTCAGGAAATGAGGTTTGGCACAGGGACCTAAAGTCTGGGCTGAACACCACCCTTTCCACTCTCCTTGCCCCATCCCTCACCATACCACTGGCCTAGCCAGCCTTGTTTGCAAGACGGTGCAGAAAAAGGGACAGAACAGAGGGAGACTGAAAATAAAGGGGTGCTGCATGCTCCTCTTTAGGGCCACTTCACTCCTTCCCTCTAAACGGAGCACTCCCAAGTTCTGAGCTCTTCCTCGGTCTTCACAACTCCCGCTGTGGGACGATGTCGGTGGATGTTTGCTCAAGGCCTCATTGAAGGTTAAGCCAGGTCCCAGCAGGAGTCCTAGTGACCAGTGACGCAAGCAAGGAATAGCGGATGGAGTTCTAGAATCAATGGGGAAGAGCTGAAGTCTAGCCCTGGCTCTGCTGCTAACCCTGCACCTAATTCTGGGTGAGCGACTTGCTCTCCGGGCCTGAGCATCTGCATCTGTGAAATGAGGGCCTTCACTGCAAGGAGGGCCCTGGGTGGGTTCCTTCCAGCATTAGCATTCTTTGGCCAACACCCAGACAATTCCTGGAGAGATGCTAGGACCAGGCTAAGCCAAGTGGCCAGGCAGGAAAGGCCACTTTGCCTCTCATAGAGATTTCCAGTCACTCCTCCGGATTTATATTAAAAAAAAAAAAAAAGACATAATAACAAATCATGGAAAGAAATGGAACCAGACACAAAAGTGGGGGATTCTCTGGATACGAGGGAGAGGGGAGTAGACGTCGAGAACTGGCACCCCTATTTGCTTATTGATTTTTGCAAATATGTTACATCTCATTGTTTTGGAAAACGTATCCAGACTGCAATTTAAGGATGGTCTCCGGGGACTGCAACTTTTGGACCAACTGTAGTAAAAACGCAAAATGAAAACTTAAAGAAAATCCCTCCAAATTGCCTCCTTGTCTCTCCCAGCAACCATTCTCTGCCCTCTTCACTTCTGTTCCCCGTTGTCCCTCATTGGTACCTGGTCCGTTGACGGTGTTCTTCCCGTTTCTGGATGCAGGAGGCCTGGAATTCATGATCCCTTCTCCAAAGTTTCATTTTCCACACATTAAATAACTCAGAGTTTCAAAAGCATTGC